TGTGGGTTTTTTGTTCACAAAAGGTTTTCTTGGTGTCGCCTTGTGTGCGTAATAAATGGTTTATTTGTTCTTGTCTGTTCTTACGCACAAAATTTTGCATCTTATTCAATTCCCCAACGTAGGAGTTCATTCGCGCCATCCATATCGAGTCGATTGCTATCGAGATTGAATTCAGTCGAGTGCCGACCTGGGAGACCCCTAGGATCATTACACAGTATTAAAAATCAAAAATCTATAGCTCATAATTCATATCGCAGTATTTAATATTCAGAATACAGTATCTAAAACACAGGATTGATTTTCCAACATTTTTGAGACCAGAAACCACCATGCAGAATTAAAAATCGATTAACCTAAATCTGAAACACTATGCACAACCCATAACTGAAAATCCACCATTCAGAATCCAAAATGTAGGACTGATTTGTAATCCGTAATCAAAAGACCACAATCCAAAGTACAGGATCGAAATCAGAAATGAATCTGGAAATGTTAAATTCAGACGTGATTGGTAACCCGGATTCGGAATCCAGGATCGATTAACGGTAACCAAGAACTGTATCCACATCCCATAAATAGGTCAATAAATACAGGATTCAGAGTCAAAAAACTATTTCTAAGAATAACCCCCGAATTCATGTGCCAGGCTTCAGTATCAAAGACAGTTACTGTATCCAGGATTCAGAATCAAACGTCAATATCTAAAAATACAACTTTCCGAATTCATGTACCAGGATTCAATATCAAAGATACTGTATCCCGAACCTGTAACCGAACATCCAGGATTCAGAATCAAAAGTCATATCTGAAAATTCAACTTTCTGAATTCATGTGCCATGATTCAATATCCAAGATACTGTAATCCAGAAGTCGTAACTGAACTACCATGATTCAGGAACAAAAATCTATAGCTAAGAATGTAACTTCTAGAATTCATGTGTCAGGATTCAAACTCCAAGATACTGTAATTCTGAATTCGTAACTGAATATCCAGGATTCAGAATCAAGAATTCGTAGCTAAGAATACAACCCCCGAATTCATGTGCCAGGATTCAGTATCAAAGATAGGTACTGTATCCCGAACCTGTAACCGAACATTCAGGATTCAGAATCAAAAGTCAATATCTAAAAATACAACTTTCGAAATTCATGTGCCAGGATTCAATATCCAAGACACTGTAATCCAGAAGTCGTAACTGAACATCCAGGATTCAGGATCAAAAATCTATAGTTAAGAATGTAACTTCTAGAATTCATGTGTCAGGATTCAAACTCCAAGATACTGTAATTCTGAATTCGTAACTGAATATCCAGGATTCAGAATCAAAGGTTAATATCTAAAAATACAACTTTCGGAATTCATGTACCAGGATTCAATATCAAAGATACTGTATCCCGAACCTGTAACTGAACATCCAGGATTCAGGATCAAAAATCTATAGCTATTAATGTAGCTTCTAGAATTCATGTGCCAGGATTCAACATCCAAGATACTATATCCAGAACCCGTAATTAAACATCCAGGATTCAGAATCAAAAATCATAGATAAGAATGCAACTTCCGGAATTCATGTGCTAGGATTCAAAATTCAAGATCCTGTATCCAGAACCCGTAACTGAACATCCAGGATTAAGAATCAAAAGTCAATATCAAAAATTCAACTTTCGGAATTCATGTAACAGGATTCAATATCAAAGATACTGTATCCCGAACCTGTAACTAAACATCCAGGATTCAGGAACAAAAATCTATAGCTAAGAATGTAACTTCTAGAATTCATGTGTCAGGATTCAAACTCCACGATACTGTAATTCTGAATTCGTAACTGAATATCCAGGATTCAGAATCAAGAATTCGTAGCTAAGAATACAACCCCCGAATTCATGTGCCAGGATTCAGTATCAAAGATAGGTACTGTATCCCGAACCTGTAACCGAACATCCAGGACTCGGAATCAAAAGTCAATATCTAAAAATACAACTTTCGAAATTCATGTGCCAGGATTCAATATCCAAGACAGTGTAATCCAGAAGTCGTAACTGAACATCCAGGATTCAGGATGAAAAATCTATAGTTAAGAATGTAACTTCTAGAATTCATGTGTCAGGATTCAAACTCCAAGACACTGTCATTCCGAATTCGTAACTGAATATCCAGGATTCACAATCAAAAATCCGTAGCTAAGAATACAACCCCCGAATTCATGTGCCAGGATTCAGCATCAAAGATAGGTACTGTATCCCGAACCTGTAACGGAACATCCAGGATTCAGAATCAAAGGTCAATATCTAAAAATACAACTTTCGGAATTCATGTACCAGGATTCAATATCAAACATACTGTATCCCGAACCTGTAACTGAACATCCAAAATACAGGATCAAAAATCTATAGCTATCAATGTAACTTCTAGAATTCATGTGCCAGGATTCAACATCCAAGATACTATATCCAGAACTCGTAATTAAACATCCAGGATTCAGAATCAAAAATCATAGATAACAATGCAACTTCCGGAATTCATGTGCTAGGATTCAAAATTCAAGATACTGTATCCAGAACCCGTAACTGAACATCCAGGATTAAGAATCAAAACTCTGTAGCTATGAATACAATTTCCAGGATTAAATATTCAAGACACAAAATCCAAAATCCAGGACTGATGTGTAATTCGAAAACCAGAGACCAAGCCTCGAAGGAAATGGTATTCAAAATTCGGATTGCAAAATTCATGCTACAATACAAATTCCGGCAGAGTTTATAGTTTAGGTTACAGAATCCAAGCAACATGATTCGGAGTCGTGCATTAGGTAACTGCCAAAAATCAGGATGTACCTATATCCCAAACTCCAGGATTAAAGATTCACAACAAAAAAAAAACAAGAGTCAAGACAATAAGAGTTCTATAATTCTAAGACGCAACCAACAATTTCCAGGATCTAGAGGTATTCTGATTGAAGTATCCGTGATCAAGGATCAGTGTTTGGTATCCTAAATCAAAATTTGGAGGGAAAATACAAGCTAGAATACAAAATACGTAGTCCCAAGTTGGGAGATCGTACTTCAAGCCTCAAAAACCAATATACAGAATTGAGAATCCAGGATCAATTATTCAGAATCTGGAGCTGTATCCAAAATGCCGAATTGAAGACTCGGCAACTCCGAAAGAATACAATTTCCAGGATTCCAACATACACGGTCCAGAACCCAAAAAATCCAGGCCTGTTTTGCAATCGCACGTACAAAATACAAAGTCCAGATTCTGGTGATGCCAGAAAGTGGACTGCAAAATTCCCAATAAAATAATACAAAATCAAGAATTGAAAGTCAAATTTCAAAATCCGGAATTTAAGGTCCAGAACTTAAAAACAAAAATCTAAGACTACAACTTTAAGAATTCATGGTTCAATTTTCCATGTCCAGGACTGAAATATAGGACCGATTTGTATTCTGCAATCCTATTCAAATTCAAACAAATTCTGCCAAGGGTATCTGGTATCCTAAATCCATAGTTCTGATTCTAAAATCGATATCTAAGAATACAAATTCCAGAACGCAAGTTTCAAGATTTCTTCCGAGAAACATTTGAAATCATCTTACATAAATCATCAGGGACACAGTAAGAGTTATAGAAGTATAAGATTTCCTAGGAATTTCACTGGAAATCTTCTGAGAAATCTACGACTGAGGAATTGGTTCATTACGCCACTCAGCACTTTATGTTGCAATTTGCTTCATCTAATATCAAGTTTCATTACACATCCTACCGAAAACATCTGTCTGCAGTTTCGCGACAACTGCGAAAGAAGGAGGCAGGTTCGACTAATTTAGCCTAAAAGTCGCGGACCATGATTGCATAACTGGAAAATATCGTGGTGAGCACATTCATGATGCAATTACATTTACTAGCTTATACTCGTAGCATTTCTTATATCTTTGACTGAACGAGCTACATTTGAAACATTTTTGTGTGTGAGAGGGGTCAAAGAAACTGTAGTCGAGCAGATGTAGAACGTTAAAACTGATAGCCACCATTGGCGCGCATACCGCAATTAAATTCAAAATTATCTCCCGAAGGAAATGAAAGATTTAAGTTTCGACGCGGCGCTCATCAATTACGACCCAGGTTAAATCCGCGGCAGATATTTCGGCGGAAAGTTCCAATATGTAATCCACGAAATTTCCGCCATCTTACAAATAAGAGCCGCCGTCGAGAGAAACTTTGCGCCGATACGACTTTATTGTTATTGTCGTGTAGAAGTCGCGTTTTCATTTTGAAAGGAAATTCGACACCGCGTTGAGACCGAAACGAAAAGAAGCGCCAAATTTAATTATCACCCCCAGTAGTTCTTTGAAGTGCATGTTATATCTTGTAATTATTCATTCTGCTTGAAACCAGAATTGGGTTAATTTAATTGTTTACCAGCTGGGTACGCTTTTCTTCCACCTCACCCTTCAATTTCGCTAAACGCATTGGAAATTTTACGTGTGGGATATTCGTAATGAGCTCACTTCAATATAGTACCAAAATGATGCGGTTTCGTGTGGGTAATTTCAGTTATCAAAGCGAGCTTCGAATAACAATGGAACTGTAATTATATGTTTTGCCCTTTAGTTTGCCCAGCTGCAGTTGAAACGTGTGCGGTTTCGCGTTGCTTCTGCTCTTCAAATAAATTTCTATTAATGTTCCCCAAATTAACAGGGTGTAGCGTTATATCTGGGTTATTTGTAGAATGCTCTACAGCTTTGTATATCGATCGGTATTGGAATTCTGTACAACCACGTGCGATACGACCGACAGGCTGTCACGTTGGCCTTACTGGGCACACGCTTCTAGAATTTTTGATTTTCGCTGGAGAGCAACAAATTACAAGAAAATTGCATCTCCACGATTATAGTGACGTGCAAATTTTCAATAAAAAAAAGTTGTCGTCGATGGGTATCGAACTTCAGACCGTAACCAACTTTAATATTGAAATAACAGCAAGAACCAAACTTACCCCGCATCTTGTGCTTCGTGTGCTCTAATTATTGATAGTAGGTTATTATTTTGAAGGAAGTCGCAACAAGCAGCGTAGCTGAAACAAACAAAGTGTAAGCTGTTTTCAATTGAAAAGAAAGAAAATAGGAAATATATTTCGAATCACTTCCGTTACTCTTCATTACAATCTGTTATTAAACGTAAATATTTAACCGGCCGCCGGACCGAGGTACGTTCGACAAGGCGAGCGCAATCAAAAACCCGAAAACCTCACTAAACCAACAATCATAAATCACCCCTCTCGCGCTATTTATGTGTCTCAATACGTAGCGTTTATGTAAATATAGTTACACTCCGCAGGCGAAAATGATTTATGTGGCGCGAAAAACCGCGCATAAAACTCGTTCTCGTTTAATAAAGGCATGAATAATAAACTGGCATTTCTAATCTTAATGTGAACGTTTCGTTGTTTTCGGAGAGTAAACTTTCTGCACCGCTGAGGTGTGTTTTAATTCGCGGAGATGAAACTCGGCAACAACTATAGACGCCCACTCGGATACGGAATAAAAATTATGCGACATGGAATATTTCCAAGTATGCCTTTTGGACTGTACAATAGTCCTACATCAAAAATATTATAAATATATAAAGTATGCCTTTTGGGCTGTACAATAGTCCCACATTATTAGCTAATTAAGTTGATCAGATGGCTTTGGATTTTTAAAAGCAAAATTACGTGGTATTATTGTGTGACATTCTTCTCTGCAAATTGGTATTATTTTGTTGTTCATAGGTCACTAGTTTCAACCGAACATCCTCTATGACGTAGGCATTATCCAGTTGTTTTATATAATAAGTCACACAATATGTGTATAAACGACTAAACTATCTAAGTGGAGCAAAGTAATCCCTCGTTAATGGAATACATGCAACTGTCAATCCAGCGAAAGATAAGCAGAACGAGGATTAATTAAATCTATACGAGATAAAGAAGGAAACTAATGATATTTCTTTCTCTCATTAGAGCGTAAACGGAGAGACCTACTTAATGGTATTGTGCAGTTTCTCAAAGGAAATGGGACATTTGTGCACTTGCGGTTATTTGCTAGTTATCAAATACAAATATTTACTTTATTTTCACTTTTTACATTTACATTTGTTTATAATTAACTACAAAACAATAAATAAATGGTTTATTGCTATTATTACTGACTAGTGAAAGTAGGCCGAAACTGACAGAATCTGTAAAAATCAATTTACAAACGTCATTTAGAGACGGAGCATGATCACGATAATGGATAATATCGCGGAGCAGCGCATTCAGGTTGCAAGTTGCACTTGGAAACTCATATCCACAAAATGTCACGGTCTGTAATCAATATCCTACCCCCTTATGTGAGTATGTATGATAATGGATCATTGTGATGACTGTCGCCTTTGAAACCGGTTCTAACGGACAATTTCAAATCGGACCACAGGAGTGTAGCCAGATTGATTACCAAGCGGGCGAATAAATCTAAAGAGCGGGCGGGCGAAATAATTATTGCCGTATTCCGTACAAACAACACCCGTTGCACAGGGTGAGTCAACGATTGCGCGGAGTAACTTAATGCCTTGAAGATTTTTCGATAGACTGCATTTGTATTATATGGTTGAATATTCTCCACGTTTTAAAAATATTTGGAATTATACAGGGTGCGCCCACAAAGTAGGGCGCCCAAATGGTACATAGAGAACCCCCTGTATTTCAATGCATTTTTGAATTCTACATGTAATTGTACGCCTTTATTATTATATAGATTAATATCCGAAAAGCTAGTAGTTTTAAAGATAATTCGATTTTTAAGAAAAATTAGGCATTTGCAAGCGTCAGTATATATTGTCAAAATTTTACTTAAATTTTGATTCCAGATTTTATATCTTTTATCCTGGGTTAAGTAAAAGTCAAATACATCTGCTATGAAACATTAAAAATATAACTTACAGGGTGTTTTTTTGGTAGGTCCAAAGTTGCAAAAGTTTATATTAAAAAATCTCACTTTTTTAATTGGAACACCCTGTCTATTTTTCTGTTATCATTTAGCTCCTCCAAGAACGTTCAACTTTTGATAATAATGTCCTATACCTATCTCTGATAGATTTCGAAGTATCTTGGTTTTCCTGGGTTTTATATTCTTATCTTAAATAAGTTATATGTAATTTACATAATAGCGAGGTGGACATGCAAAAAAAAGGCAATTTTTATCTATCCCGTCCAAAACGAAAATCATATCGATTAATTTATTTTTCGAACAATTTATTTTAAGTCCAAAAACTGGAGAATAAATTAGAACTTATTTCAGATTAAAATATAAAAAGTAGAAAAACCAAGATATTTGTTAATGTTTTTACTATCAAATTTATTCTCCAGTTTTTATAGACTTAAATTGAATTATTAGAAAAATTAGCTTTGAACGAAGCAGATAAAAATTGCCTTTTTTTGCATAACCACCTCACTATTATGTAAATTGCATATAACTTATTTAAGATTAGAATATAAAAACCAGGAAAACCAAGATACTTCGAAAACTATCAGATAGGTATAGAACATTATTATCAAAAGGTTTTTGGAGGAGCTAAATGATAACAGAAAAATATACAGGGTGTTCCATTTAAAAAAAGTGAGATTTTTTAATATAAAGTTTTGTAACTTTGGATCTAGGAAAAAACACCCTGTAAGCTATTTTTTTATGTTTTATAGTAGATGTATTTATTTGACTTTTACTTAACCCAGGATAAAAGATATAAAACCTGGAATCAAAATTTAAGTAATAATTTTGACAATATACTAACGCTTGCAAATGCCCAATTTTTCTTAAAAATCGAATTATCTTTAAAACTACTAGCTTTTCGGATATTAATCACATAATAAAAAAGGCGTACAATTACACGCAGAATTCAAAAATGCATTCAAATACAGGGGGTTCTATTTTAAAAAATGTACCATTTTGGCGCCCTACTTTGGGGGCGCACATGTATAATTCCAAGTTGTTTAAATGTGGAGAATATTCAACCATATCATAATACAAAAGCACTCTATCGAAAAATCTTATCTTCAAGGAATTAAGTTACTCAGCGCAATCGTTGACTCACCCTGTACAACGTCGATTTTCTTGGAAAATACAGTTATATGAAATGTGTTCATTACAAAAGTTTCTTTGTAATAAGTTTTCGGGATCAGGTAAAAAAGTTATCGCACCTAACCACATTTTTCAAATGGATTCAATTCAAGATTAAAAACAGGTTAAAGAAATCTTCAAAAATCGAAATTTTTTCTTTTTTGTTTACCTTTGGACTTTTTTAATCTTCTTTAAACATATTTTTGAACCTTTGACGAAATTTTTTGAATCGCTTGAATCTTTTTTTAATATCCATGGTGTGCTGTAGTTTCAATAGGGGTAATTGATATACTGTCTGTTTAGATTAAAATATACAGGGTGTTCCATTTAAAAAATGTGGTTAGGTCCGGTAACTTTTTTACTTGACCCCGGACTTATTTTTAAAATGGTAGATTATGCAACAATCAAATTGTAATAACCACATTTCCAATAAAACAAACAAATACATTATAAGCTTTTATCGAAAAATGCTTTTGCCCACAACTCAAGAAAGAAAGACTGTATGCCAGTTTGGTTTTCAATATCTTAAAAAAATACACCTTTCGATCTGTAAGGTCATTTTTTTTTTCTATTAGGTACTTATGGTTTAAGTGTTACCCCATACTAACAACCGAATTTGACCACCCTGTACAGAGAAAGTAATTCATACACCAACGTGAAATTGTTTTTAATAGTTGGCATAATTCCGAATTCTAAGGATTTTTCTTCATATTTGACCATCATTACGAGCAAGCTATATTGCGTCATATTAAGCAATTTTCAAGAGCGTGCTGCTCTTGCCCCCCTCTGGCTACGGCCCTGGCGAACCAACGTTTTGTGTAGGAACACTAGAACTTCAAAAATTTTAAGTGATAACTTTAGAGGTGTTATGAGACTTAAAATGTCAGTCTATTCAACAAGCGCAACTTCTTCATGAAACCCTACACATTTTCTGTCAAAACGAACAGCCGCTTTGGCCCAATAACCCAAAATAGTTTGGATCTAAACGACCAGTATCCATGGCACCCTGCGATCCCAAGCCCGAAGTATCCTGTGCGAAACCAAAACCTCCACAACAAAGTATTACAAGTGTTCAAACACTCAAAACAAAGCAACCTCTTTGACAAGAAATTCAAAATGGCTAACCGCAGTCAGATCTAAGGACCAATAGCTACAGCACTTTGGGATCCCCAAGCCAGTCAATCTCTTCGCCAACTTGAAACAGAAAACTTAAATCAAAATAGTCTTAGAAATGTCCACAGAGCCAAAACGAGAAGCCTCATGGGCGGGAAATCCAAAAAGGCTTTGGGGAACCGGATCTAAGGAACCTATAGCGATCCTGAAAACGGCCAACCTCCTTAGTTTGAAATTTAAAGTAGAACAAAACAAGGAAAACATCGAAAATATTGGAAGAGGCCATAATTTTAGACGGGTATCCCACATTGTGTTGTAGAAACCAGTTCTAATGACCGAAGCCTATTCCGAAACGAACCAACCTTCTCTGTAATGAAACAAAACTTAAAACTGCAATCTCCCTAAGAAACTTAAAAAATTCTGAGTCAAAACCAGACAGCCTCCTTGTTAACAATTCCAAAATAGATTGTCGAAATCGAATAGGAACATTACCCTGCGATTTCAAAGGGTGCCAGCCTCCTCTGTAGTATAATACCCAATTTGAAACCAGAACCTCTACACGAAGCATAGAACTACATATAGTACAAAGTCTCAAAACAGAGCAGTCAAGCCAAAATTGACTTGTCGGAACCGGACCTAATGGCCGATAAGCACTAAGGAGCCCGAAATGTGCTAACTCCCTCTGTGGTAAAAAAATCAATTTGAAACCGGGAACTCCACAATAATCTTCGAAGACTAAAAAAAGATGAGTAAAAAACTGAGGAATAAGAACACTTGAAAACCTAATAGTTTACGTTGATCTGGAACAACTTGCCACACTGCTCAC